AAACATCATCCCAGCACCCCTCTATAAGAGAAGGAAAAGCATCAGATCCACACCTTTGAGAAGCTGGAACCATCAAATAATACATTTATTTGATATTAATAATACATTTTATTTAAAAAGGCACCTTTCAAAACACCCAAGGTCACAGTAAAGAGCATAAAATAACATACAGAGCAAAATACATGAGTTGGCAAACATGTTGCTGTGATAATGTATGGAGGTAGGGAGGTCCAGAGCCTGGGGCAGTGCAGCTGAAAGCCCTGGCACCCATCATGCTGAGGTGTGAGGAAGCAGAGGAAGGGAGCAATCACACAGAGATGAAAACGCTAGAAATGCGACGCCAGTAAAACCATTGTTTTCCTATGATACTGCACATCTGACTGGCGTTCAAGTGTCTTTTTAGACGCGTGTTTTTCCGGCGTCTTTTTAGACGCGCATGTTTGTAGACGCTTCTTTTTAGACGCACGTAGACGCTGAAAAGTTAAAATATTTTCAACTTTTTGAGCGTCAGACACCAGGAGCTAGCGCACGTTGAATAAGCGCTTCCAGCGTTTCAAGCGTCCACGCCTCATTTCTGTGTGATCGCACCCGAAGAGTGATGGGAGTGGGAAGGTGTACTACTCAGAGAGATAGGTCGGGGCAGGGTTGTGGAGGTGTTGAAGGTGAGCAGAAGGATTTTGTGGTCAATGCGGTACTGAACAGAGAGCCAGTGTAGTTGGATGAGGATGGGGGTGATGTGGGCGGATGATTTGGTGCGGGTGATGATCCGGGCAGCTGAGTTTTGAATGAATGTTCGGCACTTTTGCTTGAAACTTGGAGAGAGTTGAAACCTGCTTGTCACAGTCAACATGATCATCTCATGTTAGAAGATTTTTTTTGTAAAATTGCTTTGTGCAAGTCTGTCATCAAACACTGAACAGGTGGCTGGTGAGCAGCTGACTACAGCACCCAGCTCTCAGGTCTTGGATGTCAGTGTTTTCCAATAAGCTCCTAAAAGCACCAACAAAGAGAAGTTGCTGTCAGCTGCACTGCTTTGAAATGTAACATAACTTTAACAAAACCAAAGTGTTTATCGTGATGGATTATCTATCTCAGATTAGTTTCAAGCCTTCCTGAATGTATTTCCTGTGACAGCAGCTACTCAGGAAACATCTTAAGATTGTTTAGAGTAGTTTGCAGTACTGTTAAGTGTGCGCCTTTGTTGGTCAATCTAATAAAAAGAACTGATGTGCTGAAAAATGACATGCTGACAGAAGTACAAAGCAGACTTCAGTCACGTGTTGTCCTCTAACTATTTGTTTCTTTGTTTATCTTTCGATTCCTCAGGCTAACGGGAACTGGCAGGGTCGAAACTCGCCCCCGTCCGGCACCTCGCCCCACACCGACCACTCGGAAAACTCTGACTGAGCCCACTGGCGCAGAACGACAGCGACGGAAAGATTGACGACGGAAAAGACAGAAAGAATGATATCACACTTCCCACTTGGCTGCAGTTGTTTTTGTACGTTGTTTGTTTGGTTTGGTTATTTTAAAATGTACATTTTTTTTCTTTTCTAACCGCTCAGTGTGGGTCATTATTATGTTTGTATGATCAGCTGAGTGCACGGATGGAAGAGTGAAAATGCGTGTGTGTCGTGTGCATGCAGGTGTGGTTTTATTATCATGGTTGTAGGGTTTGTTTTCCACTACTTTTGACATGTTACTGAGGTGTGTGTTTGTGGTTGGGAAGGGATGGGTGGGGACAGCATTATCATTGTTTTAGCACACTATATCATTATTATTAATATTAATGCTGTTTTATTATTAGCGCTATAACTATTTTCAATTTCACAGCTCAGAAAGAGAGAATGCATTTAGTGAATGAGAGGACAATAGAGAAAAATCCAAAGATTTTGTGTGTTTGTTTCTCTGTTTTGTTTGTTTTGTTGTTTTTTTTTTCTACCGGGCTTATGTGTCCCTGTAAAGTGAATGATGCGTGTGTGAGTCCATATCAGTGGTTTGAATGAGTATATCAACAGTGCTGTCTTTTTTCTGTACAGTGAAACACCTGTATTCTCTCTACCTCTTTTACAATAAAGACTCTCTGTATTCACAACCAGATGGTAATCGATCCAGGTCAAGAGGTCAAAAGGCTTGAAGTATAAAACGGGGCAGTATTAAAGGGCTAGTTCACTCAAATTACAAATTACAAAAGATACCAAACATTACCTCACAAATGTATTCAGCCACGCAAATAGTTTGTTTTATTTGCCCAGTTTTTGACATGTTTGTGTCTCTTTCCCATCAATGCAACAGAAGTAAAAGGAATTTGATTTGTTGCCTGGGTCTTCAACAAAGGATTCGCGACCCCTGTGTGGTCCTCAGAGTGCCTGCAGGGGTGCTGTCAAATTGTTTGTTAATTTACAGTACAAAACAGTAATGATAGGCTGACTGTTAGCCATGATTCATTGTATTATCCAGTGTATTGGTGCAAGGTTGAACTATCAACTGGGGAAAGCAGGAAACTGCACAAAAAATTAGGGACACCCCCAAATCAAAAATACATAGTTCCTCTTACCTGTGCGGCTACCAATAAGTCTAGATTGTTTTGATGTGAGTTGCTGAGCGTTGGCAATTTCAGCTGCGCTAACAAGACAGCTCTGTCAAGGAGGATGCCATTCATCTTTACATCTCGTGCTGTCACAAGCAGAGGCCTCTGAGTAGCTTCTTTCTGCGCAGTGATACAACTGGTGGGTGATGTTTGGTAGAAAGAAAATAGTTCCTACATGAACCTGCTCACAACAAGGTATGTAGATTATCTTGAGTAACCAGGTTATAATTTCTGGAAAGAGACATTGCTGTTAATTGCTTCAAGATGATTTTGTATGTATATATGTTTTTCAGGACTTTGAGCACCACAAACTGAGTGCCATGTAGTTCCATTATACTGGAGAGAAGGCAGACATCTCTACGGCTGATATCTCCAACACACCAGAATAATCTAGACTGATAAATAGCACTACAGGTAAGAGGAAGAATATGTATTTTTGATTTTGGGGTGAACTGTCCCTTTAAGGTTTGAGTTGTATGTTTATTTAAAATGTGTTGGAGAATTTGTACCACTTTTAGCAGAATATCAACCAAGGCAGACTCTGCATAATAACCTTGTCTTGCTCTGTCTGATGCAGCTGTTCTGTGTCAAAATCAAGTATCGCATTAAATTCAACATGTAGTTTATATTGTGCTGACATGGTGTGTATTCCCAAATGTATCAACTTTTTATTACATAAGTTTATTTGACGAGGTCAGTGATAACAGAAAAAAAGAACTGAATGAGCCACAGTATGTCTAAAAGGTACATTTTCATGTGTTGTCCCTGGACAGGTGTTCATCCTAAAGATAGGATAAAACGACTTCAGATACAATTCATATACACAACATACTAAATATGCACAGAGCCCCAGACATCACAAAGCAGTTAGCTACAGTTCAAATATAATAATCAAGAAAAAAAAGTTGTTTTCATGTGGAGCTGGAGACTTTTAATAGCACCAAGGTTTCTACAGAAAATAGACCACCTCCTTCTCCAAACTGAAGATGAGATGGGGTGTTGTGGTGTGGCGCGTGGACCTAAACACAGTGGGATTCATGAGCCTCAGCTATAATGCAATCAAGGCAATTAATTAATCTACATCTGTAAAGGAGCCCTGAGGGCCCTCCGACCCAAACCACTTGTTCAGAAAGCTGCCACGTGTGTGTCGCCACTGTATCTCTGCTTTCCCACGGTCGCCTGGCAACATCAAAGGGTTTCCACGAGCAAATGTCGAACAACTGTGGCGCTAAACGGCGCGCCAGCACGAGACAGCTGCCCAAATGGCACGCGTGGTCTATTGTGACACGGAGGTGTGAATGCAGAATGGTAACCACTGCTGCTCCTTCACCCTGCGGACTGACTAACAAATGCGAAGGCGTCAAAAGTGTGAATGGCGAAGTGTCAGCACTCACTGTAAGTGAGCGCGCAGTTCATAGAAGAGGGGGGGGGGGGGGGATTTAGTAGAAAAATAACCACTCAAAAGTGATGTTGGTGAGCCACATCTCATCAGTGATGTTGACGAATGAATACACATGGGTATTATCTCAGTTGGGTACCAGAAACGCCATCATGGACAGAAGATGCCACAGGTTGTGGAGCATTAGTAAACCAGCTGAACAGATGGATAGAAGTGCAAACTCGTCCAGTGACTCGCACCTCACGGCGCACACGCTCTCAGAGGCGCAGCTTCACTGACTTTACTGCATCCAAGTGGTTTCATTGTCCAACCCTGAAACATTTTAGGCGACTGATCTCACAGGATAACTCTAAACAAATCCATCTGGAATACATTAGGGGATATAAATACAATGAAAGTGCAAAAACTTCCCGATATACCCGCACTACAGTGTGGTGAAAAACTAAAATTATTCATTTTAATGTTGTGAATTCGTCCTCCATGTACAGTTCTTGTAAAGGTTTGTAAATTATTTTTCCCCTCTTGGTGTGCTTGTTTTTGTAATGCAAAAAACAATGCTCACATTCTTATGAATCACTGACGTGTGGGGAGACAGTAAGGCAAGGTTGCCAATTACAAGGTGCTTGCTTTTTCATGTTAAACAATACTGATTTCATTCCAAATAAAACAAATCTTGACTTAAGTTTTTTAGATTTTAAGGAATCATCTCAAATTTTGTATGTTCCGTGGTTTTACGCATGGCTTTACGCACGGTTTTACGCGTAATATGTAAGGTTTTATGCCATCTTGTCTTTCTTTTTTTCTTGTATTTTAAGCACAAGCTCGTTTGTTGTATGATGGTTAGATAAAGACATTAGATCATTAAATTGTCAGAGTTTAAAGTAGCATGAATTAAAAAAAATAAATAAATCAGCAGCCGAGAAGAGGGGTTGGGGGTTGCTGGGAGAGGTGGGGTTGTAAAGTTTGGTCGGGTGATGGGAGGGGGGGGGTCTGAGGGACCGGCTGGGAGAAAGTAAAAGAAGCAGCCTGGGACAAAAACTTCATTACCTGATCAGTTGCAGACTGTGACGGAACATCGCTCATCTTTTATAACTAGATACGGACAGACCGCACTGGACCACTGGCTACAATGAGAGTGTTACAGGAAACAGAGGATGCAACGAACAATAGAAAGGTAAAAAAAAAAAATCTTAATATATGTTTACAAATTGTTTTTATGTAGACTATAGACAACGACTTTTACTTTGATACTTCAATAAAATAAATAAAGCGGCTGAAACACTGACCTATAAGCTGGGAAGAAAACGTTTTAATCATTTCTAATTTAATTAAATTGAGTCAACCGCTACTTTTTATTTGGTTTATCCCCACAATGTTTTTTTTTCTTCTTCTAGTTAATAAAATCTCAGGTGGAGAAACGCCGCAGGGAGAGGATGAACCGCAGCCTGGAGCGTCTGAGGACCATGCTGCAGGAACCTCAGCCACCGGTAAGCTAAATAAATGAATAAACTAAAATCCTGTAAACTAAAATTATAAATACAAATGTTTTAAATTCTTCCACCATTTACTGTCCATGTTGAGATTTCTGAATTGGTTATGTTTTCCCACTTTTTGTGCTAAAAGCAAATTCCCAGTTTTCCACGTTAAGCCACGTTAGGTGATTTAATTTAAAAAAAGAATCAGTCTTAAATTTCTTTAATTCTTAGTTAACATCTCAAACTCTATGTTTTCTGTAATTTTACGCATGGCTGTTTACACACGGTTATGCGCGTAATATGTAAGCGCTTATTCCCTTGTTTCTTTTTTGTTTTTTTCTTATTTAAGCCAACATACTCCATTAACTCACACTGGTGTTTCCATGCAGGGCGGGACTCAGCACAGGGTGGAGAAAGCTGAGATACTCGAGCACACAGTCCTCTTCCTGCAGAACACCGCCAAAGGAGACAAGAGGAGAGCTGGAGGTGGTGTCATTGGTGGTGGTGGGGGTGGTGGACGAGGAGGCAAGAAACACTCTTTCCAGGACGGCTTCTCCACCTGCCTGCAGAAAGCTACTCAGTTCCTGGGACCTGAGGGGAAAGGCCTGTGGCTCGGAGCAGCCCTGAATGCGTCTTTTGCTGCTCGCCTTTCCCGTCCTGACTCTGATTCTGCAGGCGCCCAAAGAAGAACTGAAGCCCGTTCCTGCAGCTCTCTGCCACACACAAAGTCCATTCTTCGGATGCTGAAGCAAAGGTCCAAGCAAAGACTGCATACACGAGCGTTAAATGCGCATCCGTACCGGCTTCCAGCCCAGCAGGTGTCCCCCCAACAGGCTCAGAGACACAGTCAGGTTGAGGTCAGGGTGGAGAGCGGAGCGAGCAAACAGAGCCCGTCTCAGAGTTGCCCGATCAACCAGACTTTGTGGAGGCCATGGCCCTGATCACCAGACAGTGGCCTCCTGAAATTGAACTTTTTAAAGACTCTAACATTTGATTAATATTCACTGATGCCAACTGTGCTGTTCCTGAATGAATATTTGCATTGCATTGTGAACAACGACCTCTGGTCCTCTGATAACTCCTAACAGTTTTGGTATTCAAACTCAAAGTCTGTAAATAATGTAAAAAAAAAAAAGTCATTTGTGCATGTGCTGTATGTGTGATAGGGTTGACTCACGACTCGCAGTCAGTGGGGCAGCCATCTCTTCTGCCTGCAGGCGCAGGGACTCTCCCAGACTGGGACACACTGCTGCTGTGCTAAACAGCGAGTTCAGAGGTGAGTATAATGGAGCTGAAGAGTTTCTGTACTCCTTCACATTCTGCTAAACTCCTCTGCTACATCTGCTGCCATGATTCAAGTCACTGAAGTGGATAATGATTGAGTGTCCATCCATCACATTTCCAGGTGTGGGACCTGAGGGTTCGAGGCTGGGAGAGCCCCATGCAGCCCCTCACAGTCACCTGAGTGCCGTGATGTCTGCGGGCATTCATGACACCTGTGTGTCTGTGAACATCTTGTATTCCATATATCTTGTCTATTTTGCACACTAATTTATTCTGGATGTCTCCCTATGGCGAGAACTATTCTCTTTTTTATAATAAAAACTTTTCTTAAAACGTAAAAAGCATGGTGTCACTTGATTATTTTGGATGCAGGCTGCAGGCCTTTTGTTTGTGCTGACGTTGACAGCTCTCTTTAGTTGGACTCAGAGATGTGAAGCATGGCCTCCTGCAGAGCTGCATCCTCCAGGGGTGAAGTCTGACCACGAGGAGAAAGAGTTCAGCAGCAGTTCTCACTTCAAAGACATCAAAGATAGCCCTGTTCACACATCATTCACTCAGTCTGATGACTCAATATCAAACCAGTAATAAAGGGGGAAAAAGATAATATAGCCCAGAGCAGCCTGTGCGACAGATGTACCTAAAATTTAATAAAATAAAAATAAAATAGGACAAAACAAAAAAATAATACTAAAAAATAAATAAATAAATACAAATAACAATCCAAATAGTTCCAGTCAACATAGTATTATTATTATATATTGCCTATGTAACTGCCCTGTCAAAATTATTTAGCACTATTTCAATGTTTTTCCAAAAAAGAGTAGCTGATATGGTACAAGTTTTTATCAGGTACAACTACATGTCAGAACATCAAACTATACCTCACTGGATGAGGGTGAATTATCTGAAACCCTCTCAGATCATGTCAACGTTTGTTTTCATTGTAGTTAGTATTGGCTGTGTCAGTGACATCGCCCCCAGCTGTTCACAGGCCATTTGTTTTCTGCGCGTGTCCGGTGTAAATTCACAGGAAACAAAACGTGTCTTAACACCCCCTGCAGCCCTTTGAAGATCAGTCACACTCAGAGGACAGTTGACTCATTATTGCCGTCTGATTTCTGAGATGTTTCCCATGAAAATAAAGCTGTTTGAAACTGACACAAAATCTTATTTTATTTTAATCCTTCAACATCACTTTTCTTGTGCTGCTTTCAGACGCCTTTCACAAGTAATCGAACCTTTAAACTCTGAGAAAACTGGTGCAATTTCTTTCAAAAACATAGGGGGAAATACGGCAACAAGCAACTTGGTAAAAAAAAAAAGGTTCCAAAAATTGCAACAAAAAAATAAACAAATAAATTTACAAATTATTTTTTAAAAAATGGGGGAAAAAGAAAAAAAACTAGGGAAAACTATATGTATACTTCTTCTTCTTCTTCTTATTATTATTATGAGTATTATATATTTAAAGTTATGTCACATAATTATTCTTTTTTTTTAGCTCTTTTTCTGTTTAGTTTTATTTTTTCCTATCTTTCTTTCTTTTATATTTACTAATTTTATTGTTTTTTATTTTTCTACTCATTTCTTGCTAATTTTTGAGTCATTATTTCTTTCATTGTTAATTACCTTCTTGCCATGTTTTTAAAGAACCCACGCCAATTTGCTCAGGTCTCAAAGGGTCAATAGCCAGTAAGAAATTCGGTGTATGTCCAGTTAGTTATCAACACTCAGAAAAATATTCCAAGAATCAAATGAGCATTACTGTCAAAGACTGAATTATATATCGGCATTTTAAAAGACCTTAAGTGGAATCAGTTGATTATCACTGATGTGGACTTGTGCTTCTGAAATACAGTTAAATTGTATCAAAGCGCAGTCACCACATATTATCTTTGCTCATTCGGTGGAACAGTCTCGTTTAACAAAGACAACACTTTAATTAATATCTGGCTTATGTCACTCACATGAGACAGCATGTGAGACATGTGAGACAGTTTTCTGTCTCTTTCTCGTGGGAAAAGCAGAGCTCAGCGCCCATTTGCACTTTTATTATCTGTTAGTATTAGTACATCATTAAAAGAAGTGTGTGGAGGACTGCGAGCTTTCAGGTTCCCACAGACACACTTCAGACACACTGGTCACTGAAATGCAAATTACGCACCGAGGTTGCTCCGTCATGTTACTTCTCTAACACATATTTGTCAGCTGAGTTGATTCTGAGCACTGACTTGGTAAATATGTCCTGACGATAAGTATTAGGCCTCCATCAGCCTACATGTACTCGTTGTAATGTGACAGTGTTGTGGTTTATTGTGAGCACAGATTACTGCTGTTTATATCCATCCACCAAGTTAACTGTGGTACATTTATTTGGTACCCGGATGTCAAATAGTCTCTGACTAAATTATTAAGGCAAAAGATTCTATTGGCGTGTGGCTCTATGGTCGTCTTATCATTGGATCATCGTTGTGATTTATTGCGAAGATATGTAAAGTTTGTCTGGGACATGTGTATCATGTCTTTCCAAATGAAGGCCTTGGCACGTGCCGAAAACGTTACAGCTGATAAATTAGCAGGTTACAAAAACACAGTGATCTTAACTCAGCTCAACGAGTATTTTACTTTTTATTTTCACTGGGCTGACAAGTTAGAGTGCAGAAATGTGTACATGTATGTATATATGAAGAACATGCAGTCTGTTACAGTTGTTACCGTGTTTTTAATTCATTCATTCTGTTGTTAAGCTTTACTCAGCTGGCGCGTTTAAATTAGGTGTGAAGTGGTCTCGTGCTGCCGAAGCTGCGCGTGTCTGTCTCTAAGAGTTTAGTGAGTTTCAGAGTTTACTGAATAAGAAAGAGACACGATTTGTTCCCGTAGTCGATGTGTGGAATACATCTAAGACAGGAGTCTACTTAAGTAAAGGATCTGACTTATTCCATCACTGCGAAACGACCTGCTCACATCAGCGATGCGCACCAAGATCAACTGTCATAATGTTGCAAGGAGAAAGATGGAAACGTCCACGTTCTCCTCCCAAATAACAATAAATATATATATAACCAAATGGCCTTCCGTCGACACAGAAACGTGCAGACAAATGTTGAATAAGTGTGACTGTGGGAGAGTGTCACTTAGCTCTTTCTCATCGTGGGAACGTGGAGCAGGAGGCTTCATTCTCACTTTATTACCTGTTAAAACTGATACTTCATTCACAAAGTGTGCTTGGACGAGAGGTGGCTCTCAGGTTCTGATAAGTACGCGGGACGCTCAAAATAATCTTTGCAGGGTGTGACACGAGTCAAAAAATGATTTGACGTTTTGTTTAAGCGCTGGAAATGACCACATTAACTGCGGGAGCCGCGCGTAAAAGGATAGACTTGACGCGCGTCGCGGTTACAGTAACACTGGACAAAATATGATGTACTTCAAAACAGAAAGTTAAAGAATTTTCGGTAGATGCTTCGAGAGATGACACAACAACTTAGATAAAGAAAAAAATCTACTGAGTTTGGGAGATGACAAATCGTCAGTAATTTTGGTAAATGTGGGAGTAGCTCCTTCAACTCTTTCTCATGGGAAAATTACGCAGGGAGCTGCAGTCACACTTTATTACCTGTTAGAATCGATACATCGTAACAAAGCGTGTTTGGGGGGAGAAGTTGATTTCTGGTTCCCACGCGTTGCCTCTCAGAATGTCATGGTGAAATTTGCCACTATTTGGTTTTAAAGCAATTGATTCACATGTATTTGCAAAGCCGTGCGTAAAATTAGCTTTTACGCACGCCTGACACGTAGCTGACACATAGGTGCTGTCACCTGCAGATTCTGCGGGTCTTCTCTATATTAATAAACATGTTTTGACTAGAAGAACATATATTTAACCTTGGGTTGTAGTTTTTGACTTTGTTTTGTTTTTCATTCATACCCAAAGAGACGAACAATTTCAGATCGGCGCATAGAATAATGGATTTTACGCACGTTGTAACAGTTACCCTCGTTGCATAATTAATAGAATTTCTGGGAACCTCGATCATCAGTGAGACACTGAATCTTCGCTCTGATATTTTTGAGGGGGTTATCTCTCCTTTTTTTCCTCTGACAGTGTTGCCCTGAGGACATGTCTCGTTCCTCCATCAACAAAGATGTAACAAGTCGCCCACGGTCATTTGTCTGAGCTTCACGCTGTTTTGGCGGATGTTTGTAGCTTTCCCTCACATATGTAAATATGCGTGACACGAGCTGGTGACACCTTTCACAGGCGCGTGCTGCTTACACTCAGCGGCACGTGCCTGCAGATTAGTTAAGGGTCTTTTGGCGCGTCCTTCAGTCTGCATTCTTCTTGTCAAATGTGTTAAACATAGATTATTAAAAGAAGAAAGAAAATGTTGAAGTAGAGAATAAATGTATTTATGTTTTTGTTTCTAACTTTATTTTAGTGTTTTAACAATAATAGTCTGACACTTTCCACTGATGTGTGCAATTTTTAACTTTGAATCTGGAGCAGTCTGTCAAACTGCAGGAATTAAGAGTCACAACAACAACAAAAAATATTTTGTACTTTAATTCTGAGAAGGCTGACAGACATTAATAACTTGGTAGAAATTAATTTACTAGTTTCAGCTTGGAGTCAAGAGTATAATAAATGTATTTATGTTTTTATTTTTAACTTCATTTTAGTGTTTTAAACATAATAGCCTGACACTTTCCACTGATGTGTGCAACTCCTAAACTTTTTTCCTGTAGCAGTCTGTCAAACTGCAGGGATAAATAGTCACACCAAAGTAAGCGTTTTGTAATTCTGACATTAACTTGGTAAAACTGAGTTCAGTGATTTCAGCATGGAGTCAAAACTGGAGCAAAACGAGGTCTGTGGTCAGAGGTGGTGGGTGGAGCCTAAAGTCACGCCCACATCTGGCTTAAAACCTCACTCTGGAATCGCCATGGACACATTCCGCTTTGACTGACACACCGACGGAGCTGCAGTGACCAGTTCTTGGAATACAACCATGAAATTGCTTCAGGATTCAGAGGACGCAAAGGCTGAAAGAAAGGTACTTGTGTCACTCATGCTTTCATGAAAGATTTCAGATTATTGTCACAGACTCAATTATTATCTCTCCTGTGATGCACATAACTGCGTTGGGAAGAAAAACACAACTGTTCAAAAAGACAATTGATTACACCTCTCTGTCTTATTTGATTCATTAATCCTTTAATCTCTTTTCTCTCTCACAGCGTCTCAAACCTCAGGTGGAGAGACGTCGAAGAGAGAGAATGAACCGCAGCCTGGAGAGCCTGAAGACTCTTCTGCTACAGCGACAGGTAAAGACCACATAGCTCAGTTTGTTCATCCTACAGAACTGTGGTCCTTTTAATAGGGACTGAGAAACTGTTAATTGACTCTTTGTTTCTGTTTTAGGAAGCGACTCAGCGCAGAGTAGAGAAAGCTGAGATACTGGAGCACACAGTCCTCTTCCTACAGACCACTGCCAAAAGAGACGAGACGGGAGATGGAGGTGGTGGAGGCCAGAAACACTCCTTCCAAGACGGCTTCTCCACCTGCCTGCAGAGAGCGTCTCAGTTCCTGGGACCTGAGGGGAAAGGCGTGTGGCTCGGAGCAGCTCTGGATGCGTCTTTTGCTGCTCGCCTTTCCCGTCCAGACTCTGATTCTGCAGGTGCTCAACAAACAACTGAAGCTCGTCCTTCATCCAGCTCGCTACTTCTCAGGAAGTCCTCAAGGCATATTCTTCGGTTGCTGATACTTAGGTCTCGGCTCAGACGATGCACGCCTGCTGTCTCTGTGGCCAGTTGTGTTCAGACCCGGCGAGATTCACACCGCCCACTCACAGCTCCACAACAGCCCCAAAAAGTGGCGCGTAGAGTGAGCACACAGGGCCCGTCTCAGAGCCAACCGGTCAACCAGACTTTGTCTGTTTGTTTGTGGAGGCCCTGGCCCTGATCACAAGGCAGTGACCGCAGAAACTGAACTTTGAAAGACTCGTAACATGCTGATAAATATTCAGACAAGAGCATGTGTTGTTCATCTGACTTTCTGCATGGACATTTTCAGTACAATGTATTGAACACGAGCCTCCTGCTTTCTGTAAAGTCTGATACGTGTGTAGATATTGTAAATTTATTATGATCACACCAAGTGCTGCTGCAGCCTGTACGGGCCAACACGTTTTGATTGTGACATGTTATGTTCTTTGCACCTTAATTTATTTCAGTTGTCATTCGAAAATAAACAAAATATCACTAAACAATGCGCGTGTGTTCATTGATTGTTTGCTGACACGTGTCTTGACTTGACACTTGTGGATGAGAGGGGCCATGCGGTGATGTTTCACACAATGAAACAATAGAAATCCTCACTTCTTTACTTCTACAAAGTTTAACATACATAAAAAAAAATAAATACATACATTAAATGTAATTGGCATTTTATTAATAAATATAATAGACTGTCATCTTTATAATAGAAGTATGTGGACAGATAAGAATTATGGTTCAATTAAATAATTTCAGGTTGTTAAAAAGTGGTGGCCGTGCGTAAAAGTTGCTCTACTCGTGCGCAATGACATATCTTTCTGCTTTGACATCAACATTAAGAGACAAAATATTTTGTCCGTTTAAACAGAGATGGATTTGAGAATATGAATCGCTGTTTTGGCCGAAGTCATTATTTATTGCATAAAGATTTAGGTATTTTGACGTGCGTAAAACCGTTTTTACGCTGCAAGCTGTCTGACAATTTAATCAGTTTAAAGTGTCTTTTATCCAAAGGAACAAGTCTCTCCGTCTGTAGCTCATTTGCATTTCAACCACTGGAGAATGCGCGTGGGAACGTGGGAAGTGTCTCCTCTGTGTCACCCCTCTCCAGTGATGTATCAGTTTTAACAGGTAGTAAAGCTGTAATGCAGCGCCATTTCCTCTTTTCCCACGAGAAAGAGGTTGAACCCTTTGACGTTTCTTTTTCTGATGACATTTGGTGTGGGAAACATATAGACGTAGTCTGGATTTCATTCTGATCAGAAAAAATAGCCAAATTGGGAATGATTAATTTTTATTCAACACAAACAGGTGTGGAAGTAAACATTCAAAAATAATGATGTCATTCCTGTGATGATATTCTTGTCGTCTCTGAAAGGCTTTGTTGTTAGAAACTTTGGGTTGTTAGAGTAAAACATTTGATTCAAAGGTGCTATGCGCAAAATTCGGACAACCGTCTGATTTACGCGTGCAGGTATGATTCAGGCACGCGCCAGCTCTGCCTAACTCCAATGAATTCGTATAAGTTACAGCTTAATATACACTCACTGGCCACTTTATAAGGTACACCTTGCTAGTACCAAGTTGGACCCTATCCTGCTGGAAGTAGCCATCAGAAGGTGGGCACACTGTGGTCATAAAGGGATGGACACGGTCAGCAACAATACTCAGGTAGGCTGTGGTGTTTAAACCATGCTCAGTTGGTACTAAGAAAATCTCCCCCACACCATTACACCACCAGCAGCAGCCTGAAGCGTTGATACAAGGCAGGATGGATCCATGCTTTCATGTTGTTTACACCAAATTCTGACCCTACCATTTGAATGTGGCAGCAGAAGTCCAGACTCATCAGACCAGGCAACGTTTTTCCAATCTTCTGTTGTCCAGTTTTGGTGAGCCTGTGTGAATTGTAGCCTCAGTTTCCTGTTGTTAGCTGACAGGAGTGGCACCTGGTGTGGTCTTCTGCTGCTGTAGCCCATCTGCTTCAAGGTTGGACAAGGTGTTGTTGCTTCAGAGATGGTCTTCTGCAGACATTGGTTGGAACCAGTGCTTATTTGACTTCCTGTTGCCTTTCTATCATCTTGAACCAGTCTGACCATTATCCTCTGACCTTTGACCTCTGGCATCAACAAGGCATTTTGGCTCACTGGATATTTTCTCTTTATGGGACCATCCTCTGTAAACCCTAGAGATGGTTGTGTGTGAACATCCCAGTAAATACTCAGACCAGCCCGTCTGGCACCAACAACCACGCCACATTCAAAGTCACTTTAATCACCTTTCTTTTACCCATTCTGATGCTCAGTTTGAACTTCAGCAGGTCGTCTTCACCATGTCTACATGCCTAAGTGCACCTAGTTGCTGCCACATGATTGGCTGACTAGCTGTTTGTGTTAATGAGCAGTTGAACAGGTGTAGTTTGCTAGGTTTTGTTTGCCTCGTCCTATATCTAAGACCAAATGTCCTATTTTAAGACTACAAGTCTTAAAACTCTCTACAGGCCAAAGAGAGACTTTAAAAAAAGCACAAAGCACCTTTTCACAATTCCTAACACATATAATATATGTATAATCATCGGGGTGCAATTTGAAAACAATGCTGAGACTTTTCTTCAGTGAATTCTTCTTTAGCATGACAGGAAAACGTCACTCCTGTTTGTTTTCATAAACTGAATCTCAAATGTATCCAACTATAAACAAGCAAACAGAATGTTTAGCATCTATTTTGTTCACTTCCAAATTTAAATGTGGCACATTCTAGAATATGAAGCCACATTGACACTCATCTGTCTCCAAATCACTGATTATCTTAAACATACACAACCCAAAAATAATGGAGGACCACAGTAAGACATCTGGTACCTTCCAAAGTTTGCCAGCTGCTCCTCTTGAAGTGGATACAAACAGGCAATACGCAGGCCTTCCCTCAGGACTGTTGCTGCTGGACTGGGACTTCACCGCCACAGAAGAGGGTGTAAAGGTCAGCGTCCATGAGCCTGTGTTTTATGGATCTCTGCTGAAGGATCACCAGTCACCAACACAAAGTGATTTCAACATCGAGAGACCTCCAAATCGCAGCCTGTCATATCTGGTTGCTGGGACTTCTTTTACCTTCTCGCCATGACTGCAATATTTTCAGCAGCAGAACTTGACCTGCATGTTCAGTGGCTCCGAGCGTTTGTAAAGACACAGAAACGCCTGTGGTTTCTGTCCTGCCTGACGATGAGGAAGTGAAATTGAAAATAAAATCAAATAAATCCATATTATTTGCATGAAAAGTCACTTTATTGCATGCATCAGCAGGATTCTGACATCTTTGTGCAATTGTGCGCCTTTCTGTCAAAGGAACAGCGTGTAAGATTTAGGGGGATTAAGGTGAGGATTTTCTGACGACATGGCATACTTTGACGTTTTTCATGATTTTCTGACGACATGGTATACTTTGACGTTTTTCATGATTTTGAACGACATGGTATACTTTGACGTTTTTCATGATTTTTGATGACATGGTATACTTTGACGTTTTTCATGATTTTTGATGACATGGTATACTTTGCCATTTTTCATGATTTTGGACGACATGGTATACTTTGACGTTTTTTCATGATTTTCTGATGACATGGTATACTTTGACGTTTTTTCATGATTTTGGACGACATGGTATACTTTGACGTTTTTTCATGATTTTCTGATGACATGGTATACTTTGACGTTTTTTCATGATTTTCTGACGACATGGTATACTTTGAAGTTTTTCATGATTTTCTGACGACATGGTATACTTTGACGTTTTTTCATGATTTTCTGATGACATGGTATACTTTGACGTTTTTTCATGATTTTGGACGACATGGTATACTTTGACGTTTTTTCATGATTTTCTGATGACATGGTATACTTTGACGTTTTTTCATGATTTTCTGACGACATGGTATACTTTGAAGTTTTTCATGATTTTCTGACGACATGGTATACTTTGACGTTTTTTCATGATTTTCTGATGACATGGTATACTTTGACGTTTTTTCATGATTTTGGACGACATGGTATACTTTGACGTTTTTTCATGATTTTCTGATGACATGGTATACTTTGACGTTTTTTCATGATTTTCTGACGACATGGTATACTTTGAAGTTTTTCATGATTTTCTGACGACATGGTATACTTTGACGTTTTTTCATGATTTTCTGATGACATGGTATACTTTGACGTTTTTTCATGATTTTGGACGACATGGTATACTTTGACGTTTTTTCATGATTTTCTGATGACATGGTATACTTTGACGTTTTTTCATGATTTTCTGACGACATGGTATACTTTGAAGTTTTTCATGATTTTCTGACGACATGGTATACTTTGACGTTTTTTCATGATTTTCTGACGACATGGTATACTTTGACGTTTTTTCATGATTTTGGACGACATGGTATACTTTGACGTTTTTTCATGATTTTCTGATGACATGGTATACTTTGACGTTTTTTCATGATTTTGGACGACATGGTATACTTTGACGTTTTTTCATGATTTTCTGATGACATGGTATACTTTGACATTTTTTCATGATTTTCTGATCACATGGTACACTTTGACATTTTTCATGATTTTGGACGACATGGTATACTTTGATGTTTTTCATGATTTTGGACGACATGGTATACTTTGCCATTTTTCATGATTTTCTGACGGCATGGTATACTTTGACGTTTTTTCATGATTTTCTGACGACATGGTATACTTTGACGTTTTTCATGATTTTGGACGACATGGTATACTTTGACGTTTTTTCATGATTTCCTGATGACATGGTATACTTTGACATTTTTTCATGATTTTCTGATGACATGGTATACTTTGACGTTTTTCATGATTTTGGACGACATGGTATACTTTGACGTTTTTTCATGATTTTCTGATGACATGGTATACTTTGACGTTTTTCATGATTTTCTGACGACATGGTATATTTTGATGTTTTTCATGATTTTGGACGACATGGTATACTTTGACATTTTTCATGATTTTCTGACGACATGGTATACTTTGACATTTTTCATGATTTTCTGACGACATGGTACACTTTGACGTTTTTTCATGATTTTGGACGACATGGTATACTTTGACGTTTTTCATGATTTTGGACAACATGGTATACTTTGATGTTTTTCATGATTTTGGACGACATGGTATATTTTGATGTTTTTCATGATTTTCTGATGACATGGTACACTGACGTTTTTTCATGATTTTGGACGACATGGTATACTTTGCCATTCTTCATGATTTTCTGACGGCATGGTATACTTTGACGTTTTTTCATGATTTTCTTATGACATGGTATACTTTGACGTTTTTTCATGATTTTGGACAACATGGTATACTTTGACGTTTTTCATTACATTATATTACATAGTTTTACATTATATTCCATTTCTGCCAATTTGTCCCCCTAAATCCTAAACACTGGACTATTAATAATTTCTCTGATTACTTCTACAATAATCAGAATACAACCTGTTAGGTGTCAAGACAGTGAAAATTGTACAATATTTGGCAACGAGATTCACAAGCTGTTGCAGTTTCAGCTTGATTGTGATATTCATCACGTTTCATTTATCACTTTCATCTCAGACATGATGTTTTATTTGACTTTGTCACGTAACAGAAAATTTACAAGAAAAAATATCCCCCTCCCTCGTAAAAAATAAAATAAAAAAATGTCAATAATAATTTAGGCAAGGCTGAGTAAAAACTGGGGAGGTGATTTGGGAAGCGC